TGGATTTGCAGCCGAAGAAGCATCAGGGTGAGTATTTCCATCGTCGCACCGAAGCCTGGGGGGCAAAGGCAAGGAAGTCTTCGGGGGTGGGGCGTCAATATCATGCTAGAGGGAAACAGGGATTTATTTTGCATTCCCCATCCTTGTGTTAATTAAACATGCGGAGATCAACAGGGATTTATTTTGTGTTCCCCTTCCCTGCATTAATTAAACATGCAGAGGGCCATGGGGATTTATTTTGCATTCCCAATCCTTGCGTTAATTAAACACACGGAGGGCCATGGGGATTTATTTTGCGTTCCCCATCCTTGCGTTAATTAAACACGCGGAGGTCAACGGGGATTTATTTTGCATTCCCCTTCCCTGTGTTAATTAAACACTTGGAGGGCAATGAGGATTTATTTTGCGTTCCACTTCCCTGCAGGAAGGAGGAACGTGGAGGGCAAGATGGATTTATTCGTCTCCGCTGCGTGAAGGAGGAACAAATTTTCCTTTGGAAACGAGCCAGGGGGAATTTTCCCGCATCCCTATTTGCATCCCAACTCCTCGCTTGGGCCTCGGAGCTGCAGAGGGAGGGGATAAAGCCATTGCATTGAGAGGAGACATTGGGAACGGGGCAAACCAACCCCTGTTTTGGAGTGTGGTTCATGTTTCTGTTGGCTTGAAGCTCAAAACCTTATTTTTATGGCCGGGTGTGTGCGTGGGATTGGGGTGGAAATCCCCTTCTGGCCCCCGCTCACCGCAGAAGGACGGCGTTCTCCACTGCTCCACGCTGACGCCGTGGCTCTGGCACTCCGTCACGTAGGCGGCGATGGCTTTGCACAAGGTATCCCGGTGGCCTTTGTAGTGGCAGGCATCGAAGGCGCAATCCTCAAGGAAGGGCGTGGGGTTGACGGCGCGGTGGCAAGCCCGGAAGGGGCCCCCAGCTCTGGCGATCACCCCGCAGTAGCCGTCGCCGCGGTAGAGCTCTTTCTGCTCCTCGTTGCACACGGGGCAATCCCCCACACAACCGGCCGAGCAGCCGGGGACGTCTCCCACCTTCCAGCTATCGGCCAGTTGGATTTCATCCGCCGCCCGTTTGCTGTCACGAGTGATGAAGTCATCATCGGCGTTGCCGTTGGCATTGCCACACAGGCCACAGACGGCGCCGGCGTAGGCCTCAGGGAGGATGACGCGGGCGTAGCTGTACCAGTCGAAGCTCACCCGCAAGCCAAAGGAGGTGCGGGCGAAGCCGTGGACGCCGCTGTGGTAGAGCTCGAACTGGCCCTTCTGGGTGAACGGGAGCTCCACGAAGGCGCCGTTGACCTGGGGAAAAGGTGGTGTGGAGAGGCAGGGGTGGCACGGGGTGGCAACCAGCTCACGCTGCCACCTCCTGATCGGGCTGTTGGCGCAAAACCTTTTGCAGGGGGAGGATTTCTGGGCCGAATTCGGCTCAGCCAAGCGAGGGGCGGCTTTGGTAAACACCTCACGCGGGGAGGATTTGCAGACAAAAAGCGAATCACTTGAGATTTGGGGTGGGGTTTTCTTTGCAAAACCCCTTGGCGCAGGGAGAATTTCTGGGAAAATTTGAATCTGGCAAATTTGGGGTGGGTTTTTTTTCATGAGAATTTCCAGGGAAAAAAAGCGTGAATTGCCTGGGATTCGGGTGTTTCTGTAAAAACCTTTCGTGGGAGGAGGATTTCCAGGCGGAGGGCTGCGCCTCAAGTGGAAAATATTATCGTCAGGCAAGAAAAATAAAGGGGAAGCTGTAGCCAAGCCTTTTGTGCGACGCTTTGGCTGACGCAAGGTGGGAATGGAGCCTTTCCCACGTGAATTGAGTCAGATTTCAGCTGTCTGGGTTGAAAATAAATAGAAACTCAGAAAAGCCACACGGGACCCCCCCCCAAAAAAAAAGGAAGGCGAAGACGTCACTCAAAGGGGATGTGGATGCGTTCTTGCTATTATTCATCGATAGTTTTTTTTTATATGAACCTCTTTTAAGTGCTTAAAAATAAGGTGTTTCGCTCCAAAGTGGCTGCTCAGGGCTCCCCCTGGAGACGGCAGGCAGAAATTGATGCTTCCATGAGGAAAAAAAATGGGATTGGGGGGAAAAACCTGGCAAATAAGCAGTTTAGATGCAGGATGCGTGAGGTCCGTGGTGGAACACCTACCTTGACCTTGCGCGGATGCTCCTGGCTCATGCTGATGACGTTGCCGTAGACCTCCAGCGTGACAGTTTTGGTGAAGGACACGGCTTTGCTGCCCCGGTTGTTGTTCTCCACCTTGACGGTGAAAGGGACCAGTTTGGGGTCCTGGGTGCAGAGGGCTGTGAACTGGTAGATGCACGTCCCTTGGAAGTCATATCTCAAGCCGTCGAAGGTGGTGTAGTGAGGATCGAACTGGTAGATGCACGTCCCTTGGAAGTCGTATCTCAAGCCGTCGAAGGTGGTGTAGTGAGGATCGCCTGTCCCAATGCAGGTGAAGTACTTGTTCGCCTGGCAGCTGGGGACGCCGTTGACCACGACGCATTTCTCATGGGCTTTGCACCCAGCCTTCTTGCAAGCCACCTTGCCCCCCGCCTCGCATCGGCACCGGCTCTGGCAGCTCTCGTCCTCCCAAAACTCCTCCTGGGCTTTGTAGGAGCGACCATTGTGGGAACAACCGCAAGTCTCCACCGGGACACAGGTGGCATGGTGGAGGACGAAGCCCTCGTTGCACTGGCAGCTGGCGGCGCATGGCTGGCTGCAGGACGCAGGGGCGTCGGGGTTGGCGCAGGTGGCAGGGCACGCCGTCCCGCAGGCCTTGAAGTGGCTGTTTTGGGGGCATTTCTGAGCTGTGGGGGATGATATTTGAGAAGGAGATGTCAAAAAACCCAAACAAAGGGCAACCCGAGGGACGAGCTAAGGGACATCAGGGCTCCTCTGCTGGAGATGTTGGCTCAGCCGATGCCTACGGGATTCAGAGTCCACGAGACCCCCCCCATGGGGATGGCCCTCAAGAAAACCCTGACACAATTCTGCATGTTAGGGACACCTGAAGCCAGAGGAGGTGGATTCGGGTGTGGTTTGGCATGAAAAGGGCAGCACAACCCTTCCCTGAGGCTGGAGATGTTGCCTGAGTCAGGCCTACAAGCATCAGCTTGGTAGTCTGGGCAGCTCCCAGGTACCCCACGGCCAGATCCCCATGTGGCTCCCCCTCTTTCTCCCCAAAATTCTTGAGGACCCGCCCCTGCCCCGCATCTGAGCTCACCACAGCCTGGTGTGTCCTGATCTTCACAATCATCCTGGCAGGAGGGATCGCGCCAGCTCTCGGCCCACTCCTCCACACTGGAAGCCTGAGTGCCATTGGAAAACGTCACCTCATCCTCTGTGTCTTCGTTGAAGTTGCCGCAGAGTCCGCAGGTGGCCCCAAAATAGCTGCTGGGCACCGCCACCATTAGGGCCCAGTCTTCATCGTAGGTCACCTGCAGCCCAAAATCTGTTTGCAGGATAATCCGGCCCTCGTTTTGGGAGATCTGGATCTTCCCCTCATCCAGGGTGGCTGGTAGGCTGGTGAGTTTGTTGTTGACCTTGGGGGAAGGGAGGAGAAGGATGAAATCTCATCGGGTGGTGGCTTTGCTAAGAGTTCACAGCCCCCTCTATCCCGCAAAAAAACCCTTGTAGATACAATCAGAAGGAGAAATTGCTTTCAGGATGAAGGGATCATCGTCGTAAACTGGCAATTTTGCCCCACGTCCCATGGATTGCTTTAGGCAGGACCCCAAGGTGCCATGGGAGAGACACCTCCATCAACTTCCGAGCTTCAAATCTCATTTCTGTTAAGACCACCGCACCGTACGGCTGGGAGGATCCACCTCTAACCTTGCAAAATGGATTTTCCTCTCACCTGGCCCCCCCTTTTTGTGGTAGATCTCCCCGGCTGGTGGACCTCGTTGGCTCAAGCCAATCTGACGGCAGAGTCACAGCCTTAAAAATCTGCCGCCGCCTTGATGCGCACCCAAAAGCGAGCGTGGTTTAATTTGGAGACGCCCTTGCAGACATCTCGCGCCAGGTATGAAACGCCCTCGCCTTCGCCGTACCTTGATTTGCAACGCAAAAATTCCCTCTACTCCCCGCGCTTTCGGTGGGGCTCCGCATTTTTTAATTTCAACCTCTCCCACCCCAATGCTTTCCCCTCCTCCATTGGGCACAAAAGGCTTTGTCCAAAATAACGCTGCCGCGGGCCGGGAAAACCCACCAGGATTTTGCCTCCCTCTCCTTTGTTGATGGAAATGTTGTAGGCGTACACGTAGACGTTGGTCAACCACTCCGTCAAATCGCCTTGGCTCTTCTTCTCCTCCACGGCAAAAGGCACCAAGGTGGGATCGTTGCCGCAGTATTTGGCCACGGTGTAGGCGCAGCCGCCCCGGATGTCCACGCTCATCCCGTCGAAGGTGTGGTACTGCAAGGCCTGCGACCCCATGCAGGTTCCCATGTAGTCGTGCACGCACATGGCCTCCCCCTTCTCCAGCTTGCACGTCTCCTTCGCCCGGCACTGCACGAGCCGGCAGGGATCTGGGAAGAAATCACGGATGATTATGTGTGGGGATGACTTTGCCGCCGGATGTGGCCGCAGGGGCAGAGGAAGCATCGCTGTCACCATAGATGCCCAACCAGCACCTCCTGATCTCTACTGTATCAAAGCAGGGGTTTAGCCCAGCTGGGTTTAGCCACCTTAAGCTTAGGCCTGAGCCTCTGGGTTGGTCCGTGATGGCTCCTTTCATTGATTATTTAATTACAGATTATTTATTTATCAATTATTTAGGGATAAAAATTCATCCCAGCTGGGTTTAGTAACCTTAAACTTAGGCCTGAGCTTCTGGGTCGATCGTTGAAGGTCCCTTTCATTGATTATTTAATTACAGATGATTTATTTGATTATTTAGGGATAAAAATTCACCCCAGATGATTTATTTATCTATTATTTAGGGATAAAAATTCATGCCAGGTGGGTTTAGTGACCTTAAACTTAGGTCTGAGCCTCTGGGTTGGTTGCCTGAGACTCCTTTCATCGATTGTTTAATTACAGATGATTTATTTATCGATTATGTAGGGATAAAAATTCATCCCAGATGCGTTTAACGACCTTAGGCCTAGGCCTGAGCCTCTGGGTTGATCGTTGAAGGTTCCTTTCATTGATTATTTAATTACAGATGATTGATTAATCAATTATTTAGCAATAAAAATTATCCCAGGTGGGTTTAGCACCTTAGGCTCAGATTCGAGCCTCTGGGTCAATCGTTGAAGGTTCCTTTCATCGATTGTTTAGTTACAGATGATTTATTTATCCATTATGTAGGGATAAAAATTCATCCCAGCCGGGTTTAGCGACCCTAAGCTTAGGCCTGAGCCTCTAGGTCGATCGTTGACGGCTCCTTTCATTGATTATTTAATTACAGATGATTTATTTATCGATTATTTAGGGATGATACAGAAGAAACATCCCCTCCAGAGCCATGTTGGGCGAACGACCCCATGTCAGCCCTGCCTGTCCTTCTGCCACCAGAGAAAAGCCCAGTTCTCGCTCAAACCAGCTGATTTTTAGGTGCTTTTCTAGGTGCAAGCTCAGTCTTTAGCAGGTGGCGGGGTGTGGGAAGGGGACGTTATGGGCGCCCTGGCTTGGAGGGTGGAATTTTATTTGCAGGCAGGGAGCAAAAAGGGAGTGGAGGGAGCCAGAGGTGGCCATGGAGCACTCACCGCTGTCGCAAACGGCTGCCGCCCCATAGGCTTTTTGCTCCCGGATCCCTACATTGAGCAACCCGAAGGGGGACGTCTTGTGCTCCAGCGTATGGACGGCGAATTGACTGCCCAAACTCTGCCCAGCCCAGGAGTATTCGGTGCCCGGGATGGGTTTCCAGGCCACATTTCTCAACGGTGTTTTGTTGAGCGTCATTCCAGTTGTCTCCGAGGTCTTGACAATCAGCAGGGCGTAATTATCGTAACCCTCCAGGGCGAAGAGGTTATAGGAGTTGCAGTAGCTGGAGACGTCTGGGATGGTCATAAAAAATGGGTCATAAGAGACGGCGCCTTTATTACCTCCGTCGGCAAAAAAAATGACCTGGATGCCCGCGTTGGTGGAGAGGTACAAGGTGTTTAAGGCTTGGAGTCCGTAGAGGGTTGACCGGTTGGGCCGGAGCTCCCGAGTGGTCTTGGTCACCCCGTGTTGAGACTCCACACGTGTCTGCTGGGAGGTGGAGACGTAGATGATATCAGACTGGGTCTCGAAAGGCAACGGCGGCACAATGAAGGTGGTGCCCCAGCTGGAAACGGGTTGGAGCTGCTCCACCAAATGGTCACAGTGGGCAAACCTGGCCAAGCAAGTGTGGCCGGTGAAGACAGCCACGGGTTTCTGTGCCACGATCCTTGTGCCAGACATATCGGACGGGCTTTGGAGCTGGGCTGCTTGGAAGGGCTCCAGGCTGATGGAGAGCACTGAGCCCCGGGGGTAAGACCGGCCTTGGTAGGTCACCGCGGCTTTGAGGTGCACGTCCACCACAGTGGGCTCATCCCAGGCAGCCACCACGAACTCACCATAGCGATCAGTGCCCACGTTGGGTGTCACGACGTGGTACTCCGTGCCCCAGCTGTGCACTGGGTATACCACGGTTGAGTCAACCGAGGTGGGTTTCTCATTGACCATCACCACGGAGATGGCGTTGTTGGCCCTCACCACCACAGTGTTGTCAAAGATTTTACTTCCCACCATCTCTGCTTGGGGCGGGACCTTCACCAGGATGGTTTGGCCGGCGCTCGCCTGCACTGTCATCCTCAAGCCTGGCTTCTTCATGGAGATGGTTACAGAAGTGAAGGGCGAATAACCCGTGATGAGCAGCTTGAAGTTGCTGTTGAGGGTTTGCTGCAAACCGTTCTGCATGAAGGCCACCACAAAGTCCTCCCCCAGGTGATGCGGAGCTGACGCAACCACATTGAGCAGGTAAAAACCACCTAGAAAAGCCCAAGGAAGAGGAGAATTTGTCATCAGCACCTTCGTCATCCATAACTGGCCACCCTTGCTAGGGGCTGAGACTCTAGGTGGGCTCAAGGTGGCGCCTGATTGGATCTTGGTGGCCAAGGGACAGCAAATCAATGGGCTGCTGAGCTGATGGGACATGGGTTTTGAGAAATGAATTAGCGTTGATGCTGTGGATTATTGGCTTGATGGACTTTTGAGGCGATGGGGTAAAAAAAGAGCTGGGTGGCCCAGCCCAGAGAGTGGTGGTCAACGGAGTTCAAATCAGTGGTCAGAAGCGGTGGCCCCAGGGCTCAGTTTTGGGCCCAGCTCTGTTTAACATCTTTAGTAATGACCTGGATGAGGGGATCGAGGGCACCCTCAGTCAGTTTGCAGATGACACCATGTTGGGTGGAAGCGTGGACCTGCTGGTGGGGAGGAGGGCTCTGAAGAGGGACCTGGCCAGGCAGGATCCATGGGCCCAGCCCAATGGGGTGAGGGGCAACAAGGCCAAGGGCCGGGTCCTGCCCCGGGGTCAC